CTTTAAAAGGCACTTATTTACAGCACGAGAAATGGGCAAACATTCCCGCTTGTCAGAATGAAAGACTGGGGGTAACTGAGCACTGGATTGTGTGGGGGTGTTCCTGTTAGGAGAACAATGCGAATTCCCAAGGTGCTTTGGGAAGGTTGATGCAGTTATGGAGGAGAACAGCCAAATCAACACTTCTTTCGGTTTCTTCAGTGAAGTCTTCGCTTTCAGCATATTGGTTTTTGTACTGTGCTGGCTGTTTTGGAAGACAGATTATGGCTGTTTTCTGCAAATAAATCTCTGACCCAGGCAGCCTGCAGGTGGATTGCTACAGGCCAGTAAACTGTAGATACAGAGAGCGTATCTGTTGGATATGTGCCTCCTGTGAGTAAGTGCACAAAACACTATGTAACTTCCAATGCAAAGAACTGTAGATTTTGGCATATCCACTGCTGTGCCCAGCCCCCCATCACCAAGGCTTACAAGTCTGATTAGACAATGACAGCCTTAACATATATGAAGCCTTTTGGGAAACACAGAGTAAACTTCCCTGGGGGTGGAAAAAAAAGATCACATAGGAAATTGATGTGCTGATAGGGAAGGAAAACTTGCAACTGCATCAGGGAAGAAACAAAGGATGTGTCAAGCCAGGGAATAAGGATTAAGCCCTACAGACCATTTCAAGAGGCTGCTTTCTGGGCATCAGGCTAATTGCTGTGTGTTTGGGTCTCACTGTTTGGAGTAGTCCAAGGAGCAGCTTGGGCTATGATCCCAGCCAGGTGCCTGGTCACCAGCATCCAGCCTGCCAGAGCTCCACTCATGGACATCCTTAACAGGAATGAGAGCAATGGCCTGAGCAGACAGCAACAGCTGACAGGAAAGCGTAATTATCATCCTCAAGGCTTTGAAATCTCAGTAAGATCAGATTGAAAGGGTGCTCCTCATTTCACTGAAAAGAGAGAAATGCTATCTTTCTTCACAGTGCTTCCTAGTCATTCCTTGTCAGAAAAGACGTGTTCCTTACAAATCCTACATTCTCTGAGAGCAGCTGAGTGACCAAAAAGCCACCACAGAGCTTGCTCTAAAGCACAGGCTCAGGACCTTGGCTTGAGTTTTAAGGAACTTGAATATTTGAGCCTCGGATCTCTCTGGAGCAGGCCAGAAGACAGTCCTGTACTCCTACCAGAGAAAAGCATCGTGCTTTGGCACAGAAAAATATAAGTTTTTTGGCCATGTACAGGGACAAGCAACATTTTCATAGAGATAAAAGAGGATCTTCTCTTGACTGTTAAGTAAATGCTTCTTAAGGGCAGATGAACAGGTTTTTTCCCCCCTGTTTCATTTAGATTAAGCCTTCTGGGAGATATAAAGATCTAAGGGTATCTAGGCTTGTCTGCAAAAAGATGAATAGGGGGAAATTTCTGTCCCTGAACCTGTAATGGTTTCTTTCGCATTACATAAAATACAAGGGGGTTTTGGATCCACAGCTGTCATTGCCATCACTTAGAATAATTCCTTACATATACATTGTGTCTACAGCTGGTGTTTATAAGCTACCTCACTCAGAACAGGTCCAGTGACAGCTCCTGGTTTTTAAATGAAATTTTATATCAAAATTCCAAAATAAATCACTTTTGGAAGGGGGGCACAAAGTGTTTGCCAGCCTGCTACAGTGAATGTTTCAAGCCAGCCTGGAAAATCCTGAAGGGAACAGAGTTAGGGAATCACCTTCACACTGTCTTTTTTAAAGAGACACAAGTGTGCAGATGCAGATCATATGTGCATGAGATTCAGGTCTCAGATTCAACCATCAGTCAGAGTTAAGTGGCAATAAGACCTTGCCAAATGGTTCTCACATGATATTTAACCTCAAAGAGGACATGGTTTTCAGTCTCTGAGTACACCAAAAACAAAGGCTTCAAAAGGACACTATGTAGAGTACTGCCTCTGATTCAGGACCAAGACCAAAGTAGTATCTCTAGATATGGGATTTGATTCTGACCCATATGAAATCTAAAAACTTCTGATTTGCAGGGAAATATTCCGTGCTGCCCTTGTCTTGGCTATTGCACAGCAGGTTCACAGTGATGTGTATCATATCTCACAGCTGCAGCAGTGAGTCCAGTAACCTTTACATTACTAGACCATGGCACTGAGGGTGATGGAAGGCCAAATTTGGCAGAAACTCAAGAGCTTTAAAAGCTACACATTATCAGAGCAACAAAAAGAAGACTGTGCTGGGTTAGGTCATTTAATTTTCAGCCTTCTGTAAAAGGGATCAAGCAAGGCAGTAGGCAGCGACCTGTCAACAGAACAGGATGAAGCAATTTCAAATGAGCCTAATTTTAAAAAAATCCCCCAACATTAAGCTTTAAAAAATCTGAAGCCACACACTAGAAAACACAAGCAAGATAATCTGGATCTTTTCTCTCTACAATGTAGATATTTAAATACCAGATCTTGGCATGTGGCCAGAATTCTCACTTGGCTGTTGGAGTGTAAAGGCAAACATATCTGCTCAGCCAAGCCCGCACTACTGGATTTTGATAAGCCGGCTCAGATTGCTTTAGTGCTCCAGAGCAGAATGGGCTGAGTGAGTGCTTTGATACAGGCTGTATTGCAGACACTGGATGCACTGAGAATGCAGACAATAAGATAGATAAACAAAATGAGAAGCCTCATAAACCTGCTATTTTTCCTTATTATGAGTTAAGTTTATGCAAAAAGGACCTGCATATTCCTCCTCCTTCTGGCAATTCTGTACACCAGCACCTCTGAGAGCAGGAAAACTCAAAATCTGGAAGTGCAGATTTCATCAGCAAAGACCATCTGGGAGACTTATTTTTACATATAATCAAGCTAACTTTTGTTCTCAATGTCATAGTAATTCCCTAGAAAAGAATCAGATTTCAGTGGCTTATGTGGGCCACCTTCCTATGCAAGAAGAGTAGGGTGCAATGAAAATACTGGGTGAAATTTGCAAGAACATCTAGTAGTTTAGGAGAGAACCTTCAGCAGATTTTCAGTGAATCATATTATTTTATACAGCAAATATTCAAACGTCTGTAGGCACTTATATCTGCCAACTGTAATGCTTAGCAGGATTTTCAAAAGCAAGTAATTTTTACAAATCCAGTTTGTACCTGTTTGTAGCATTAGATTTCTAACTGTGTCAGGAATGAGGTATTTTTAGTCTGGAAATGTTGCTGTACAGCACTATGAAATTTCATGCTAAACATGCTGCTTTACCAAATTCCTACTCAAACTTTGTTTTTTCCACTGGCAGCACAAGCTGAAAATATTGCTGTTACAATTGCTGCTGAAATTATTGTGATTTTTGAAACAGAAATTTACAAGAGGAGGAGTCTGATAAAGACATCACTTTGTCCTTTAATTTAAATACATGGCAATCAGAATATAAATTAAAAAATAAAGTCTTCACATGTTAGTGAAGATTTAATGAAGTGACTTAATTTATTTGCATAGTTGCAGTGCCTTTGTCCTTGTAACATGGTCCTATTAATCTCATGCCTCACTTTTATTACAATCACTGTGCTGGCATTTCATTACTACCTTTATTTAAACTCTCAGTACCCACATTGTTTATACTTCAAAATCTAGTAATATTTGCTTTTCTTACAGATGTGGAGTAGAAAAATCCATGGAAATCTGTGAAAAAAAGAGCTGAGAAGTAGGCTGAGCTACTTGTTACCAACAGTCTGTGTCACTGCCTTCACTGCCATCACAGGGATGTCAAGAGTTTGGGGTGGAAGTTCCCAGCTACAATACAATGCCAATCTCAGGTTACAACAGGACCAAGTTCTACTAAAAATGCAGGTACACCATGACGAATTGAAAAGAAATGTGAAACCACTAGCCTTGGGTGAATTTTTATGTTATTATTGTATTACTGAAATGGCTTCAGGAAATTAGAAACAGAACATTTATAATACTTTCTTGGTATTTTTTGTAAGAAAAAAAACCAAAAAACAATCATCCCAAATAAAACAAAGCAAAAACAAACAAAACAAAGCCAAATAAAAGAATCCCCTCAAACTATTTATATGTTTCACTTTTAAAGACAAAATTCTAACCAAGCTTTCTCTTTTTCTTTTAAATGTACACAGAAATTCGATGATGTCTGTTCTCTATTATAGAAATGCTTAACTCATGGCAAGCCTCAAAAAAGAAGACTTGAAAAAGCCTGTAAGAAATAAAATAGACTGCAGTTGCCTGCTGGATACCACATAATATATCTCACCAGAAAGAAAAGCCATCAATTTATCAAAATGTATCTGAAAGGGAGAAGTTGAGTCAGTTCCACAAGGCCAGTCCTTCTGACTCTTTAATGGATACATTTTGAAGCATCACTGCAGATAACAAGGCAAGAATTACTACTAATTTTGTTGTGTTAAAACTATCTTTTGGCACTTCCCAATTTCTTTGGGATCACAGGAAACAAAATTAGTATAAACACATTACCATGTTAACTGTGCTCAAAATCCCATGGACAAATGTATCCCTTAACATCCATCTTCAGAGTAATTAAGAAAGATTAAACATTGCTAATAACTGATTTTTATTTCACTTTTGTTTCTCTTCTCTTTTCAAATGTTCACCCTCTCCACTTCATAAATCTTCATTATTTGTCACATTCCATATTGATTTTTTCCTACTGTGTTAGTAAAGTAACATCTAGAAATATGTGAACTATTAATTAGCTGGAATCACTTTCAGAAAGTTTGCCTTTCCATGCGAACAACTTTATATAAACCAAATAGTGACTAGATATCAGTGTTTTGCTGTTGCCAAGTCCATGGGATCTGATGCTTGGCTGTATAGTTTCTTATTTTATATACAGTGTATATATACATGAGTGTATATATATATATACATATACACACACATATATACATATATAATTATATATGTATACATTCACACACATATAAAATATATGTATGCATTGTTTTTTGCAAATGAAATCAGAAAGCAAGCAAAACACAACTGACCTGACTTACCTGTACTGGGCTCACAGTCAATGAAATCTTCATCATCACTGGAACATTCAGCTGATGAAACGATGTCATCTGTTGTCTGGCATGCAAAGCAAAGGAACAAAAGAAAACAAAAGTAAGATATTTGAAAGTCAAGAAGCTATTACTCAGGCAGCTAAATATCCAAGGGGGAAAAAACAGGTTTCATAATTGTAACTTTTAAAATATTTAAGTTGTACCAAGCACCCCGTATATGCCTGTGTAAATGTGTCCTCCACTGAGCTGCAGTCTCCTGTTGGAGAGATAGTGCTTATCCTGTGCTGTTGAATATTTCAAGTGTGCACAGGTGCTGTGCACCTGCCCGGCTGTTCAGGGCAGCAAGTGGATCACACTGATGCTGTTGAACGAAGTACAGTGGGCTACAAAGCCTGCTTGCCTGGCAAACTGCCCTCCAACAGCCACTGCAGATGGGTCTGCTGGGAGGAGGCTGGGCTCCTCTCTAAGTACCAGTATCATGCAGGGGCAGTCAGAAGGCACCTCCTGAGAGACTTACCATATGAGGCACGTTCACACTGAACATGCTTTCTTCAAAGAAAAATATACAAGATAGACCCAGATAACACGCGTCACTCAGACAGCCAGCAGTACTCATTGCTGTGTCTGATGCACCACTCTGAGGCAGACATAATTCCGGCTCTGTTAATGCACCTCTTGGGTTGGGAATCTGGTGTTTACCCAGATGGTAAATATCACTTGTTGCATGATGAAGAACTGCTGCATGTGTCAGGCATGCCCAACATGCAACCTCACCTCCTTGATGAGCAAGTGACCAGCAATGTGGATGCACTAGGTTGACCAGCTGTAAAGACTGATTCTGAAAGGGTTAAACCAAACTGTGACCATTCACAACCATTACAGGTTTCATCACAGTCCTTTGCATTTCCAGCTGATGATGCTTTCTTTTTTTTTAATTTTAATTTTTAATATTTTTTTCTTTCTGTGTGTGTAGTGCTCTAATTAATGAGCAGCATGTACTGCAGCATGTTAGAGAGACGTGTACTGGTGTCTCTTCCCAGCAGCATCTCCTGCCTGTAATTGCTGCAATTAGTTGAATTAGTAATTCAGACCATTAGGGAGAGCCCCTGGCAGCCTCTGGACACAGGTTGTAATGTTCCTGTGCACAATACAAAATTACCCCAGCTCAGCAGCATTGGCTCAACCACGGCTTCTGATGAAACTGTCTCCCTTAACAGCTCTTCCTTGCAGAGAGCTGCCTGTTCTGCTGAGCAGTAGGATCAGCAGGATGACTCCTGAAACAAAACAACTGAAATGCTCCTCACCAGGCAGGAAGCACTGCTGAACTCAGGAGCAGGACAGCTGCACTTCAGTACTCTAGGTGAATATTTCTGGGAATCGCACATCTCAATAAGACTTTCAAATCCTTACTCCTGAAAAAGACCCTCCAGCTTTAAATAAGGTTTCCTTTACATTCTTATGTAAACATGTCTCCAACATGTTCCCTCTTCCCTTTTACAAAAGAGTTCTGAGGGCTCTGACTTGAGCCTCCTGTGCTCCCAGCACTATGAATTACCTCTGACCTCTGCCAGAAGTTCCTTGCTCTCCCCCTCTCTGTTTGTATTTGAGCTAAGGGAAGAAAAAGAGAACAAAGTCAATCAGAAAGATCCGATTGAACCTAATGTTCCTTCAGTCGTGATTTCAGTGGCTTAGATTGAGCCAAGAAAGGAAAACAGGGTAGGTCAGTTGCAAGTAAAAATGATAGAGTATTTGCAAAAAAAACCCAGTCATGAAGTATTTTATGTGTCACTCAGTCATACCCAGCATGGTCATTCAGCAATGTTTTGTGGAATGCTATCTTGCAGTAGTTTCATGCTCAAATACTTTCATTAAATACTTTTACAATCTTGCTTCCATGGGGAGTCAAGATTAAAAGGAACTGAAGGTAATATGTTCCTGCCTTACATGTCAAGGTCATTTTTTTAACATCTTCTTTCAGTCATCAAAAGTGGAAGAATTCTGTTGAAATCCTGGTGACTTATCTTAATACAAGCTGGCTTTAAAATTTTGTCTGCTCAGTGAGGGGACAAGAAAGGAGGAATGCACAAAATAGAAATCTACTTTTTTCAATTCTTCTGGTCCTGGCACATATATTTTAGAATGTATTATTTATCCCCAGAAATTTTATAACTTATACAGTGATCACATCCTCTAACAGTGAAATGCAGCTGTCTCTGGGTAAAAAGATATTAGTTTTTAATTGCACCAATGTAAAGTAATTTAGCACAATTTAGTAAACAAGGCTATACTGCTAGAAATTTCTAAGCAGGGGAAATGTAGTTAGTGAAACTTGAGATTTATAATGTAGTTGTCTAAGGGTAAGGATGACACTACAAATAAAGAATAAATTAAGGATAGAACTGTGAATAAAGAATAAACTATCCATCATTACTACCTTGCTCAGGCAGTGTTAAAACCCTGGCAATTGATTTCCAGGTTAAATTTAGATCATGTGGATTTTGTTCTGAGTTGAAGATCTGACAATTCACACTTCTCATAGAAAAAAAGTGATTATTTTCTCCAGTAGGAAATAAACATAAAAATTATAACAATGTGTAGTTGTCTCTTATCAGCTGCTATACCTATTTGATTACCCACTTGTTCAGATCTTAAGGCTTCATGCAACATTAATGTGGAATGAAATCCAATTGAATTGACAATGTGATTTAGTATTTGTAAAGAACTGTAAAGAATAAGGAGCTCCTTTATAACAATTTTTTCTTCTTGCATATTAGGCATATTAGGGGCATCATATGAAACCAGGAAGGTAACAAGGCCTTTTTTTTTTTTTTTTTAACTGGACACCTTCCTGCAACAGGATAGTGGTAGATAATAAAAGTTTAGAACATTTTTGGATCAGCCAAATTGAAGGTCAAAACATCCTTCCAGATCTATTAATTACCCTATATCTAGTTTGGTAAATCCCCATACCACAACCTGAAAAGTCATGAAGCCTGGCCCTTGTTCCTCTTCTTGTTCAATTTCCCATCTCATAAGCAGTTTAAGGCAGTACATGCAACATATTTATGCTGCACTCTGGTATGTGTACTAGATTTCCTGCTATAAAATCCTCTTGCAGCCTGTGTTGGTTCTGAACAAAGGACACAGTAAGCCAGACTCAGACAAAATGCAAATGTGTGATGTGTAATACTCACCAACCCTGTCAACTCCAACCTCTATTTGCACTTTTTCATGATTGGTTCCACACATGATTTTATCAATTAATCTCCATCTTTTCTCCCCATCTCTACTACATGCTATTTCACCAGATAGTCTATTTTTTTTTTTTCTTTGTGATTGCTCCTTATCCCATCCTGTTGATTTTGTATGTATAAAAATGAGAGTTAGAAAAAGAAATAAAACCTCCAGAAGTGGTGTTAGATTTAAGTCAAGGTCATTAATGAGATCTCTAGAAACCACAGAAGAGATAAGCACACTAATCTGTCCTGCCATTTCCTATCTTATATTTGTAATCTCGGTACTTTCCATCACAATTCATCACTAACTGATTTTCTAGTCCCACCACATATTGGTTTTCCATACGCCTTCCGCTTAGATACCAACATCTGAATCATCCCGAAGGAATAAAGCTATTTCAGTGAGAAAGAACAGCAAATTCCTGACCACAGGAACAGGGTCAAGGAAACATCCAGACGACCATTACTTCTTGTAACAGGTACCTTTCAAGACCCTCCCTGAGAATTTTCACTGGATGTTTATTAAACTTGCTGCTTTCACAAGACAGGAGAGGCTAGTGAGCAGAGATCCTGGAAATCTCTCCACGAGCATGATTTCTTCACATCAGAAACAGCTCACTGTGAGGCAGTAAGCAAAAACACCATCCCATTTCTGGTCCCTTTTCCCCATTTTTGAAATGGTTCTCATTATACTCACCCACTGGCCCCAGGGGATGTAAGTGGATTAATGCTTTAGTGTCTGCCCAGTGGTCTAGGGATAGTAAAAGCTAAACATTCTTATGTGCAGGCAAAAGGATAGTAATGAAACTTCTCCATATGCTGTGATGGAAATGATGTTTGTGTTTCCACTGGAAAGAACATGAGAGAGAAAATATTTTTCCCTTCCCTCTATTAGCTCAATTCTATATTAAAAATAATAAGTCACACTATACTATTTTAAAATATGTATTTCATTTTTAAAGAATCCCAGCTTTGAAATTACTTGGCCTGTATTAAAGGCCATAAAACTAAAGATAGGTATTATAATAACTTTCAATAAAATTTCTCTCTGGCAGGAACCCTTTTTATTCCTTCCTCTGAAAGATTTTTTATGGCATTTATATTATTATTTTTTCTCTCCCTCTCTCTAGTGTTTAATGAAATTGCTTTGGAATAAAACTAGGGTAGGAGAAAGTGCTAAACTCCGAGTCTACCCCAGAGGATTTATGGGCATATTTACCTTCAAATTCTTTCAATTTCACTGAATTGGCTTCCCATTCCTTTCCATGAATTATTAGTCCTGTAATCACCTCCTCCTAATTGTTCACTCTAAGGGTCTCTTCAATCTTCACACAGTGATGGTTCTACAATCTTTGTTCATTACACTGTATGTTCTGGTGTGGGATATATAGTGCAAGGAAATTTGGCATGGTGTGGCAAGACCTTCTCAAGATGACTCTGTTCCTGTCCAATCTTTAAATTGCCCAAAGCCCTAATTTATGTATCAGATCCATAACCCTTGCTCCTTTGTTCTAGACAAAATGGCAGGTGCCATTAGAATCTTCCTTTTCCCAATTGGAAGGTTTTTTTGACACCTTGCTCTTTGGGTACACAACTATTTGAGAAAGATTAAGCATGTTGGATAAAATAAGCTCTGTCACAAAACAGCTTTATGAAATTATAAAAAACGCACCCAGGAATGATGGAGTTCTCCCTTCTAGAGGGAGAGAAAAGACAAGGACCCATAAATTCAACCCCCAGACAAATTCCTGCAGAATTACACTCTTGGCAGTTGCTTCATTCGGTAAAGGAGGATTCAATTTTCCTACTTGCCTATTTTTTGAAATTC